TGTCAAATTTTCTCTCAATGGATAGATCATTTCCTTTTAATGCAAGCGAGTGTTTAATTTTGCCCATAAAACAAACAGATACAAAAATGGCGTCTTACGTTTTGTTATTCCAACATATTGAACTGATTAAAACCTTAATTTTTATAGTACCAAACCTTTAGAATCTGTTTTTTAAATAAGAATGTGCCGTCACATGTCATTTTCTTACATGAGCTATCAGACTAAGAATATTATAATAAATATAATATCGAACATTATAATGACGGCAATAATTCTACAACTGATTAGATATTGAGACTGTTGAAGTTTTATGGAATAAAAGCGATTTAATACTAGAAGTTCACTGATAGGATATCAATGAATGATAGTAGAAGAATGATTTGATATTAGAAGTTCATTAATAGGATATGATATTAATTAATCGTAACACGACTGTCAAAACACTTTTTGCTTCTTTCTGCTTTTCCTTTCTGTTCCCATAATTTCTATTTCCAATAATAGTTTCGTTGTTGATCTATGTCTGTCTTTACACAAATTGAATTTAAAAAATTACAATAGCTCTTACATTCCAATTAAATGAAACAAAAGAAAGATTTAAGAAGATTATATCGTATTTCTTAATTTTGCTTATTTGCTTAATTTTAAAACATTGGCAAGTTCTCTTCCAACGAGGGATGAACTCCGAGTATTACGTTTACAGGTGCACCATTCGCCAAATAATTTCCAGAAACTTTAACTGTTCATAAATGAACCTTTTCATTATGTTATGAACAAGTCATAAACAAACTTTTGTATCTTCCTAATTAAAATGCTATGAAAGTATTTATTTATATGCTTCTAGTTATATTTATATTAAATTAGTTAAATTCCATTGTTGTTGAAGAATATTTTTTCTCGGCGTTTAATGTTATGATTCCGTCAATGTGTAAAGTACTTTACGTTAATTAACTAGTTATTATAATTTTGATCTTTACTACGACATATTCCTTCCATATTCCACACAAGAATGCAAACTAGCTTTAAATATATATAAGCTGAGGGTTTTAGAATCTTTACAGACCTTCTGACACTAGCGTAGCACTGTTAGAATTGTGCCAACTTTATTAAAAATTGCTTATTTCGGTTTTGGCACTTTTTGCAATGCGATTGTTTTGAATTTATGTACCGGTAAAACTAGCTGAACCAGCCTGTAGCTAACTTTATTGACTCTGTACTCTTAGACTGTTGTTTTCGTTTAAATTGAATTTAAAACACGAACCCTTCTTAAATATTTCTACGCAAAAAATAATGTGAACTCCAACACCTGCATATGTGGGGAACAAGAAACTCCTGATCATTACACTATCTCATGCTGATTAACTGAGGGTAATCACATAAAATCCCCATAAACTAATCTCCTGGCATTCCAAAGGGTTTTTTTTTAATTACATATAAGCATCAGTAACCGATGTTTCAAAAAATTATGCAACGATTCTCTTCCTACGGTTTGACATTTGTCAAGTATGAGTTTTCATACTTCATGTATTTAATAAACTTTTACATGCTATGAATATGTTCAAAATGATTCCACTTACCACCTACAGTTTATTAACTGTAATAATCTTTTATAACTGTAATAACGTCGTGGACATCTCTTTAGTACTTATTATTATAGTTCATTATAACACAGTGTTTGTTCCCAGTACTTATTATTAGTTCAAAAGGGCTTTGTTCCTGAAGGACTATTGACTTCTTTTTGCGATTTTGGGTTGAAAACTTTAAAAGGCTGTATCAATTTTCAAATTGTTGCCACCAAATACTATCGCCCTGTATTATATTTGAAGAAATTAAATAATGAGGGACATGCATAAATGTATATATGTTTCTCGCATTGTGATAAAACAACGGTACCTAGAGTTATCCAATTTTGAATGGCGTAATCCTACTGCGAATATGGGCATCTGGAAAGCGCAAATCTGAAATTCGGAATTTGGTTTATTATCTATTTCATATTTTGTAAAACTTTAAGGAAGTTTTGAGAAACAAACTCAAAAAAAAAAAAAAAAAAAAAAAAAAACGAGCAATTACAACACTCTACGAAGGGGGAATACCTTTTTTATCTCCAGCGCGCGGAACTAGGTATCGGAAATTCTAAAGATATGCTCATTTTAAAATTATTTTGCAACATTGCTGTTGACCTGAATTTTATGATTTAAGTGCAAAGAATGCGATATTTAATAAATAAAGGTAACACACGAAACGTTAAGAAAACGCCCCTTTGGACGTAATTTAAAATTCGAAACATTCAGAATTTTTATAGAATTTTTTAAATTATTTTTTATTTATCTTATTATGTTTCTATGTTATTTTTCTTACACTAAAACAGATGTTCAATTTAATTTGCGAATTTCAAACTTTATTGAAACTATATTGTAATATCTTTATGTCTTAAATAATTATTTTTAATAAATACTGGATGCGAGGTGTACAGTAGGATAAATAACACAACGTACTATAATAGGTAAAAACTAGATCCTTTGGAAAGTTTCAGTTGCTCATTTCCTCAACATTTCTTTGTAAACTCAAAGTACCTGTTATTTTTTAATTTACACTCATGTCCATAAATTAAGAATAATGCAAAATCAAGCAAAGGAAGAGTTAGAAGCAAAACAAATTTGACTTATTTGTAAAGCTTATTTATTAAACAAAAGGTAAAGAGCAAAAAAAAGATGCTATATGTTTGATATTATTAAAAAAATAGCTATTTTTTCTCCCTGGAGCAAATTAAAAAAAAAAAAATATATTTACAAAAAACCAGTATTACATGGTTGGTATGATTGTTAATACATTGTATGTCTGCCAGACGATGCAAAACAGTCCGTACAACGCCTAGGCATGCCGGGTATCAAATTATCGATCTGATCTTGGAGAATATTACACCACTCAAAAAGCAATGCTCTCCGAAGTTCCGGTAGACGTGTAGGAGGAGGTTGACGGGCTGCAACTCGTCGGCCAAGCATGTCCCACACGTGCTCTACTGGATAATGCTGGCCAGTCCATACGGGTGATATCCTCCGATTGAAGGCATCCGCTTACGATGTTTGCACGGTGAGGACGGGCGTTGTCATCCATAAACACAAATTGTGCGCCCATGGAGCCCCGAAACAAACGTCCATGTTCCAGAACGACGTTCCAGAATGACGATAGATTTGGCTTGCCATGGTTCCAATTTGAATATGCAGGTCAGTTCTACGCCAAACGTCCAGAATAATTCCACCCCAAACGAGCACTCCTGCACCACCGTAACGGTGTCGTTCAATGATGGTAATGGGTACCTGGAGCTCTCCATATGAAAGTCCGGCGAGAATCAGACTGCAAGCTAAACCTGGACTCGTCGGAAAACATCACACAAGCCCACTGTTGCGGTGTCCACAATGCATGCTCTCTACTCCAGGCTAACCGCAGGCGACAGTGAGTTGCAGTAAGTGCAACGCATCTGACAGGTCTACGAGCATATAGACCAATCTGCCCTAAGCGTCTGTACACGGTCTGCCTTGAAATTGTCGTACCAGTGGCTGAAGAGAGCTGAAGAGACAGGTCTGAGGCTGTGCTCCGCCTGTTTCTTTTGGCAGTAACTGCCAAACACCGGTCCTCATCCGGCGTTGTAACTCAGGGGCGACCTGTGCTCTAACGTCTACTCACATTACCATCATCTTGGATCGTTCTCAAAGCCTAGAGATGACACTCTGGGCAATTCCAAGTTCGTCTGATACTTCTAGTTGGAAACGCCCACATTCCAGAAGGTCGATAATTCTACCACGTAAAAAATCATCCAAATACGTCCTTTCTGTCGTAACTATTCGGTTATTGCACTGAAATGCTTATAAAGCGCCTGCGAACAATTTTACTTCTTTATATATCACTCTGTATTCCTTATATATCACTCTCTTACACTCTCGTCATTGTGACGCACCATCGGTGTCATCTGGTTACTTCCTGAAATTTGCATATGATTCTTGAAGATGTGTGTAGTGATTTTACAGGTGATATATTTATTTTAGACTTCGATTTCCGCGTGACTCCGAATTATCCTTAATTTATGGAAATGAGTGTATATCGCCACAGTAGGGGATTATCTGTAGCAGAAGTCGTGCCTTTTATGCTAAACGTTCAGACTAAATAAAAAGGTTATTTTAATACTCGCAAGTATTTTTCATACTATTTCAGAGGCTGTTATAATTCACTAATTTGTCTAGTAGAGTTGTAGGATTTAAATTCAGTTTCCAGATGAATACCAGCCTTACAAATGTTATTAAAATAGCCGTGGAAAACTTTAAAATAACAACAAAAGAATCCCCTTTGTTATTATTCCCTTTTACTGCGTGCGTAGATAACTAATCTTTTCTGAAAGCGAGCATTTACTGCAGCGAATTCTTAATAAGAATATCAAACAGTCACGTGAACCTAAGTATACCTTATAAATACTCAAAACTGAAAGTAACAAGCCATTACATCAAAACAAAACATCAGAAAAATTTATATGCACTTTATAACACACACGATAAATATTCAAAACGGTGTCATCAATAACATCATCTTTCGCGGTTGAGTAAGCGTTCCATCAGAGCTGTTACTTTTTTTCGCATAAGGAATCAAACGCTCGAATTTTGTCGGCAGTTACACGAAGAAGAAATAAATCACAGATCCCGAAGCGCTGCTGAAATTACAGTAATTGAAAAGTTTCTCTCGTTCTCGCCCTGCTATCCAGAACTGCAACATAGCAGGAGGTTCATCAATCACGAAAACTATTGCGGTTGAATAAATAAGTTTTCGCCAGGTTTTCTCTCATCATCTTTTAACCAACTCAACTTTACTCAACTTTTAAGGTAATGAGAAACAATCACGAGGGAAGACTTTCACTTTTCATGCTGGTTTTAAAGAAACAAGCGATAAAAATGGTATAAAATATACTTTTTTCCCCTGATAAATGACAAAATTTGGTAAAAGATTGGAGTTCTTACCGGTTACATCCAGGATTATTTCGTTTGAAGTGGCTTTGTATTGGTGGCCATTGATTACATTTGATGCTTCGCATACATATTGACCTTGGTACTGGTATGTGACGTTCTGTATGTGAAGAGAAGCTGTATGACCCCTCAGTTGCCAAGCGATCGGATCTCCACCCATCTTTTGTAGCCACGAGTACCTTGAACATAATTCATAACCTCAGATTAATAAAACTTTAATTATTAAAATAAAATACAGAATAATTTAAATTAGCTATTCCATTCACTAATTACCTTACATAGTACCTTGTTATACATAATACTGTAGTTCTAAGAATCAATATTCTAAGAATATTTTTAAGAAAGAAAAGAAAATTTATTCTGCCATACCTGGAGCAGAGTGCTGTTGACAATATATCCAAGGTTCATGTTGTGAAAGCATGCAACTTATTAGATTTGGTGATGATATATAATAGAATGATTAATTCGCGATCAACGCACTTTGCATATCGTAACGTATAACTGAATAACGTATCGTAACTTTGCATAACAGCATATAGTAACTCTGCAAGTCGTATCGCATTGCGTTCAATAAATGGTACATTTACTCCTGACCTTTAAAGTCTAAAGTACAACCTTCGAACTAATGCTTTCAAAGACAGATCTGCATTCTTTTCGCATCATCTACTGATAATTTTGCCGTATTTTTACTTCCTTGTTCGAAGTAAAAAGGAATTATTGTAATCGCGAAAAGTTTCAGGCAGCATATTTCAACGAAAATATACATTTTGACCGCTATCGAATGCAATTTAAAGATGTCTTTTTTTGCGTCATATCTGTACGTAAGGACAGAATAAAAGACTCTTTTTCTCCAAAAAAATTATAAAACTGCTTTAAAATGAATTCTGAAGAGAATTTTTCGTGGCGTCTGTACGAACGTATGTATGTACGTATGTACGTACGTATGTATCTCGCATAACTCAAAAACGAGTAGCCTCAGAACGTTGAAATTTTGTATATAGGACTGTTATAACATGTAGATGTGCACCTCGTATTTTGGTTGCAATCGGCCGCACCAAACGTATATAATATATTTATATATATATATATATCCTCTCTGTTACCCGGCTCAGTGATCTCAGTTTCTTTACTCTTATATGTTTGTAAATTGTGCATTTTTTGCTTTAAAAATGATTGAATTATGTTGTTTTTATCTTCCGGTTAAGGCTTTTATGCCTTTAGTAAATCTCTAAGGAACATTTTTAGAATTATCAACAATTTTAAAGTTGTTTAAGTGCCGCTAAGCCTTTTTTTATGGCGGCCATTGATTGTTTACATTTGAAACAGCAGACTAGTGGATTTGTTGCCAATCTAGAGAAACTTAGCCTCGCAACAACAAAGATAACGCCTTCATTTATTATTGCCAATTAAATCATGCTTAATCCTTTCTGGAATTTTTTTCGAGGAAATAAGTTTTTAAGATTTACTTCGTAATTTTTAATATAGATATTTTGAGTTTTTATGTATTTTTGCCTTCTCGCGAAGTGAGAACTGAATTTGAATGAGAAATACTCAATCGTTTGTGAAAAACTGTTTCTTTTTTGTTTTGTTTGCTTAATTTCTTTTATACATCATTCTAGCTTTATTATAGTATTTGAATAAAACATGTGGCAACGATTAGATAATTATATTCTTTAAATGATATAAATTTTGTGCATTATGATTTATAATATGAACGAAATATAATACTGTTAAGTGAATTTAGGGCCAGAGTGTCGCTATGGTAAACAAATACTAGAGTGAATTTTAAAGAATGCATTTATTCTATTGTGGTTTATGCGCTGTCGGCGAAGTAGATTTAATTCAATCCAATAAGTTTAAATGAAATGCAAGAAAAAATGCGCATAATTTAATATTCCGTACAAGGAAGTCATGTGGTGTACACATCAGATTTTTTAAGAGAGGAATATAACTAAACCGTAGTTACAATTCATATCCAATATTTCAGCTTGAAAATAATTTGTAAGAATAACTTTAGAATGAATTTTAAATTATGAAATTTCGTCTCTTGAAAATACTGCTTCTCTGCGTATTATTTTCAAACCCATTGAAAAAAGGCCTTGTTTGACCAACAGCATCCACTTCAAAATGCTGTCTCATTGTATAATTTCTTAACTTGCCTCAATACAAAGTCTCATAAAAACATCGAATTTTCATCTGAACAAAATTAGCCAACATTTTATAGAGATATTAGATTTTGTTTTAAGCAGGAGACATGATAAATGAGAAATGATCTCAAATGATCCTCAATGAGCAATGATCCTCAAATTTTGGTCACAAAACATTTGTTATCATCACGGTGTCGCTCACATCTCCTCTCCCCTTTTTTAATAGTCACGAAGAGTAAAGATCCTTTCACATTTTTCAATGATTTGACGAATGCATACCACAGAACAGAGATTATGTTGATCATAGTTTCACAAAGTGTATGTTGAGTATTCGCAAAAGAACATTTATTTTCATAAAAGTTTTGGATAATAATCAAACATTCTTGAAGCGTGTATCTAGCCACGATAAATTCTCAAAGCATAATAAAAAGAAATAAAAATTAGTGGCATTTTAAACATGATTTGTAATATTAATATTATATTATTCTTATTTTAATATCCTTTACATCACAAATAAAATCAACTAACAATATATAATAAATTTCACAAAAAGTAGACAAATTATCAGACTTCTGTCAAGCTGTCATCTGCTGTATGTCCCATAGCATTTCACAGCGGAAAAATGATGCCTCGAGGCAACATTTAAGGTCAGATGTTTTTAATCTCCTTCTCCAAATGTTCCACCATTTTGCAGTAGGTGCAGCGTTCACTATGGCAGCTTTCAACAATATATCCAATACATATATTGTTGTATTGGATATATTGTATCATATCGTATTGGATATTGGATATATTGTATCATATGTTGTATTGGATACAATACAATATCATAGCGACAGGTAGCTTCATGACGATCGAAGCAAAGGCTCCGCAAAATCTTTCCAACAAACCTCAAATGTAAATGAGTTCAGCGATGGTGGAATCAATCTCTGTATTCAGTCACGTTTCACGGTCATTATTAAAACAGATGACTTTCGTTTCGCCGAAAGAACAGCCGCCGGTTTAAAGAGGCATTAGCATAGAATGTGGCCGAAAATAACCATTGTTGTAACTGTCTGCAATACAATTTGCTACGATGTGAATACTTAGAACAGTCTTTTCCGAATACATATATACTCAAAATGTCGAAATTAAAGTAAATAATTGAACAAGATTGTAAGATGTTAGAAGATATAAATAAAGTTTTTACCGAATACATAGTGATAAAATCAAACTCAGAAGTAATGACCAGCAGGAATTTTGATGGCGTAGAAATGTTGATTCATGATGAATAGGAAATTAGAGTCGAAGGCAGATTAAATCTTCATTTTTTTAATTTCAGCAAACATCTTGCGGCCACAAACAAGTTGGCACATTAATTGTGCCTATTCCAAAAAATACGTGTTAAATAAATTTGCAGTAAGAAATAAGGAGCAGACAGACTGCAGTCCAGCTAGGCCAAAGCGTAGAAAGCAAGTGAATGTTCAGAGTGAAATCTTAATTCAGACTGAGTTAGTTTTGGTTCACAATGCATTTTGATTGGATAGTTAATATTGCTGTAAAATTACTATTGGTTGTTTGAGTTTTAGTTCCATTTACTGTTGTGTAGATAATTCTCTGATCGCGTTATAAAAACTAGGTGAATGATTTTCTGATTTAAGAAAATCTTAATTTTATTTGATTCTGAATTATTTATTTTAATGCTTTAATTTTGGGGAAAAACAGATGCTTCTGGGAATATTATTTAGTTTCAAAGAATATTATTTATTTTTCCTTTATTTGCAATTTTTGTCCAAGCTTTGATTCATTGTGAAAAGAAGCAGGGAAAGGAGGCGATTTTGCTAAGTCATGATTTCGCGCGCTTTGTCCTTTAGAATGTTCTAGAAGAAATTTCATTGTGCAATTGACCTTAGGACAGGAAGTACGTGACAGAAGGGTCAGAGGTTGCCACTTAATCTTCGATGTAAGTCATTCAGGTTTTGGCGATCGAGGGTCCGGTTGTTGGCTAACTGAAGAAGGGCGCGCATGCGCGATCACCCTTATTTCCTCATTCAGGGGCTGAAACGCAAATTTTGCCCAAATTAAGGGGGCGATAATTGAAGCCATTGTGGAAGCCCGCGTCTGTGAAGGAGACGAAGAAAGTTCGAGTTTGAATCACTTACTTCCTAGACTTACTCTTTGGACGTTACTTTTGAAACTTGCTCTTGGGTTGAGCGATAGAAAGGACGAGATGTAATTTAAGTCGTGAGATTGTGCTTCCGGCGGAAAACGGCAGTTATGCTATCCGGCCGCCGACTTGCTATCGGAAAAACCAGGGATGATGAGGACTTTCTCCAGTATCTTAAAAATAAGAAAGTTTCCTCCAGCGTGTATTAAATTCTTAACATTTATCGGTCAAGTTCCACCACGTCAATGTGAGAGTCTATCCTCGACAGCCGGCCAGCGAACTTTGAAGATTCTGCTCGGGTGCTTGTTCCAGTGGCAAATTTTCTTCGATGCTGAACTTGCGGATGTGTTGCTGAAAAATGATGGAGGCGGCGTTCTACTATATTTCGGTCAGTGATCCTGAAAAACGTGAGACTCATTAGACGTCAGTGTTCCCCTTACGGAATGTATTACTCCCAGGACTTAAGGAGGACTATTTATCCCTGATTTCTCCTAGGATGCAAGGCCAGCCCGAGACATTTCCGGGGGCGTTTCAAGTCGTCTACATAACAGATAAGTTTTGTTTTGTTATCAATTTTCCTGTGAACTTTTGGGAATTGGAACTTTACTTTAAATTGAATCTTTAAATTAATTCTAAAGGACTAAATTGCCTCCCTTTTCCCCTTCTTAATTTACCAAGACAAACCTTAAAGTCTCTTATGAAATAGGATGTAATAATATAATTTGTTTGTGTAATCTTCCTTAGAACAGATGTTGAATTGCAGATAATATGTTTCCTTTAACCTCTTAGAAATTACTGCACGGGTACCTGTTAAATTAAAAGAGTCATGTAATAGATTTGCAAATCATGGATTTAAATGTAACAAAAGAAAATGATAAATTGAAGAATTCACCTGTGTCTAAAATAAGAAAATTGAACTGTAACAAAAATAAGAAATTTGAGTTTTTCATTAGGATAAGATTTAATTTTAATTGTTGAGGAATTTGAATAAACTTGTATTTAATCTGGAAACCTATTACTTATGTTTTCTTTATATCTTTTATGTGTTTTTCTCATATATATATACATAGATTGATTTACATCTTGTTTATTCGATCCTCTCACAGCGCGGTCCCGGATGCATTTTCACAATGCAATGCACTAAAATTTCACTTATACGATCACTAAAAGTGTGGTAATTAGCTAACTCTTAATAGTTTAGTTCTCAGTTGATATTTAGTTAGTTACGGTTTCACCTGTCTGTTTCTGCATTAGTTTCCTCCCTAAGAGAAAGTAGTAACACAGCATTGGTGCCATGATTGTCATGGCACGATCAAGAAACAGAACATTACTTCATCAGAATTGCGTAAGAAACATACGACATGGATTAGTCTCGAAATGACGCAGTGCATATAGAGGTTACTATTTTTAGAATAGAGAAGGAAAATTAATTTACGCTGATAATTTAATCTTTTACAAATTATTTATTTTACTTACATATATAATCCAACTGTCGAAGTTAAAGTGAATAACTGAACAAGACTGTAACAAATTTCTAACGACTAAAGGTCGAAAATGGCAAGTGAGTAAATAGTCGCACTAAGCAAGCATATTAATAAAAATAATCAGTTTTTTTTATTTCACATACGCTTAGACGTACTCCAGTCTACTTATTTATAAAACAACTATTATATATAAATGCTAACATTTACTTACTTTGGCGGTGGGTTGCCTTCAGCTTCGCACGTAAGCGTTGTGCTGTTGTAGACTGTAACAGTTGCTCCGGGATTAGGAGAAATCTTCATGATCTGAGGTTTATCTGTGTAAACAAATTACTTGTTAACAAAAACTTCTTAAAACACAAACTCGAATGAAACAGAACTCATTGTTTAAAAAAATGTTGAAGTACAGAATGATTAACATAATTGCGATCCTGACAAAGATATCGCAAATTACTGGGACCACTTAATTCATTCCTATCAAATATTAAAATAAAAAATAAAAAAAAGCAACACAACATTTTTTCCAGGTGAACTTCAACACAAAGACGCTGAATCTAAAGAAAAGTTAGGGAAAAAAATTAACCTAAGTTTTCAGGCTTTGTGCCGATTAAAATAAAGAAGCGGTTGGTTCTAGAAAAAAAAAAAAAAAAAAAAAACGTTAAGTTAAAAGGAGTAATTAATCTTCTCCAGTTTTTCTTTCATCCCGAAAAATGGATAGCGGTACTTTTACTTCAATTAAAAGAGAATTAGGGTTTGAGATTATGATTATAAGAAAAGTGATGTAAGTTCAACAGCTCCTTAACGAGTAAACACAGCTGCAGAATTTGTAACACTAATTGAGATAAGCGTCATATCTCACTTTGCTTGGTTTTAAAAATAATGTTTTAGACCACAGTGGGTTTGGGAGCCGGAGTGACACGGCACAAAGACCACGAGACATAATTGGTACTGTGAACGAAATAATAAATTGGAGAGTCATTCACAAACATTAAAGGCTACATCAGTTCTACTTCCGACGCTACCATATTCAGCACTACTTTATATCACACGTATATTACTCTATACCATTTATACGGTCCATACACTACTTTATATCATTTACCATTAAGTAGAGTATGTTTCTAGTATTTATAGTTTATTAATAATTTGAGGTATTGAATAAATTCTAAATTTTCTCAAATCTTTCAATGAATCAGCAGTTTGAAATCAATCCTTTATGAAAGGATAAAAGAAGCAAGTAAAAAATGACTTTTTAAAAGAGACCTTTTAAAAGGTCAAAAGTGTAATATTAAAAGCAAATTTTGAAATTTGGTTTAATAAAAAATAATTTTAAGATTACAGTGTTTGCATCTATATTTATCACGAAATTATTTTTATTTATTTTATTATTTTATGTTTTGATTTTTTATTAGATTAAGTATTATTTATGAGATTAAGTCTAAATATAATTTGACAAAGAACATTTTAGTAACAAATCAAATTTTTATTTTTAGTCCAAAGGGACTTGAGTCCCGAAGGACTATTGCTTTCGTTTTGGCATTTTGCGTCGGACTCCTATAAATGTCGGTTCACTTTTCAAACTGTTGCCATAAAATGTTAGAGTCCTGCATTATATTTGAAGAAATTAAATAATGAAAATCTGCGTAAATGTATGTATATTTCTCACATTGTCATAAAATAACGGTACATAGAGTCATCGAATTTTGAATAACGTAATCCTCCAACGAATATGAGCATGTGGAAGACCAAATTTGAAATTTGGAATTTGTTTTATGATCGATTTCCTATTTTTTAAAACTTTGACGAATTTTTGATTAACAAACTCAAGGATTTCAAAGCGAGCAATGGCAACGTTGTGCAGAAAAAACATTTATATCTCCAGCGCGTGAGTCTCTGTATCGGAAATTCTAAAGATATGCTCGTTTTAAAACTATTTTGCGATATTGCTGTTGCACTGGATCTTATGGTTTAAGTGCGAAGAACATGATATTTAATAAAGAAAGGTAACACACAAAATGTTAAAAAACGCCCCTTTGGACGTAATTTAAAATCTGAAACATTTCAGATTTTTTTTTTAATTTATTTATTTTTAAGAATATTTGAAATCAGAACAATTGGATAGAGGAGATAATTAATTTTAAAAATGTTAACGTAGATGAACACTAAATTTTCTTCAATAAATTAAGAGTATGTAATCAGCACGACCATGAGGTGATACTGGTGATATAGTTTCACTAAATCAGAAATAGTCCCTTTTTTCTAATGAATTCTTCTGATGGATATCATAAAATTGTTATTTCCATACAAAATTGCTATTCTATATTATTTTATTATTTATATATTTATTCCTTTTATTTTTTTATTCTTTATTTGTTGAATTGGAAAGGTAAGAATGACAAAAAACTGAAAAGATTGTATTTTTCGACTTTTGAATATTTCTCAAAATTCTTTGGATCGAAAGATTTTTACCTAACACAGCGAAAAAAAATTTTTTTCGAATTCCATACGTTTAAATTTCTTTCTTGAAAGATATCTACGCTTTCAAATGAAAGCATAAGGTTTATGTTTCTTAATATTTATATATAGTATACGATGAACGTAATGGTTTAAAGAAGTTTTTCAGATTGGATTCAAATAGTAATGAACTATAACACTGATAATATTTATGATGTGTTGAATGTTGAATATATGATATATTCGCAAGATCTTATAATCTCTCGGTTCAGCGAACCATTAATGATGAGTATATCCTTTCGTAGTTTGGATGATGTTTTCTTTTGAAATTAATACTGCTGATGTAGATATCGCTTTATAAAAGATTCTTATTGAATTACAGAGAAACGAAGTAACTCCAACAACGTTCAAAGTTGAGAAGCGTGATATGTGGGAAAGAGATGACGCTGCTAAAAATATTTATTACTCTGAGAAAAACGAAGAATATATGCTATTGATTATTTATTTCCTTACCTTTTCCCTATTTATTATTAAATCTGGATTCAGCCTCATATGATTTCGCATGAGATGTTCATAATAGACTTCACATTGTAAAAATACGTCATTTTGATCTAACAAAAGGTCTTTCAATATGAATATTGTAATTTTAAAATGAAATAAAAACTATTTTATATACAACTATTTTATATACTTTTTAAGTACAATTTATGACATTAAGTTTCGAATAAAATATCATTTACGTATCCACCTCAACCCAGCGCACATGAGCGAATTCGCTCAACCAAATTTTCGATGTCTGTATGCTAGAATTCGGGCCCAGTGTCACGCATTTTCACTTAAAAGGCAACTGAAAGGGGAACCCAGTCGCTGAGTCCTAATGCTAACGATATCACATTTTAGTTCAGAAACCACCTGCACAACGATTTACCGGAGCAAGAAATAGGAAAAATCAATCCTATCTTCGCCGGGATTTGAACTCCGTACCTCTCAATTGCTAGCCGAATGTGCTTCCAATTACATCAAGAAGACACACGGTAAGGAAAGCCAAACATTATAACTTGGGTCATTTTATTAGCTCTATACCATAATATTAATACAGGTAACGCGTTATTGGAAAACGTCCTTAGTCGATGGCGCGAAGGTCTTTTCTTCCTCAGCATCGAAATACAAAAACGGAAAACATTTTTATACAGTCTGCGTGTATTATATTAAATAAACGTTTTCGCTTACGGAATACCAATTTCGCAAATAAAACTCTTGTCTCCCGTTCGTCTGGATCTTTTCCAAAAAAGAAGCGGGGATTTTTAATTCATCCCGAAAGCAAAAAGGAAGTGTTTCCCCCAAGATTTCAGAGAGTTAAGAAAAATCCCTCTCTTTTGATTGTCTTTGGAAAAGCCTGGCAGTTCGGAGATTGCCTGCCAGAAGAAGGATCTCTGTTTCAAGCTTTAGGGAGGCTAAAATTTCTTTTTCCCTTTCTCTTTCGTTCAATTAAAGAAAAAAAGGGTAAAAGAAAACTAAACACACTTACGGCTGAGACGAACATATAGCTCTGGACAAGAGCATTATTTTGGAGACATTTTTTTTGGTATGTGTGTAAGAGAATACTTGTAAATTCAGTTACCAGCAAATCTTCTAATTACAATTTTAAACATTTTCGATACCTCAACGCAAACGCTGAGGGTTTTTGAATGTCGCGCAAAGGCTTATGCGGTAAAAAAGTAATAACAAAGCTTTCGGAAGGAGATTTTTTAACGCTTTTTTTTTCAACAATTCTCTTTTTTAACTTACTTTAATTTTTTCTTAATAGAGGAATGAAACACACTTTCCCGCCGTGAAATAGAGTAAAATTTACTACTTTGTTTATTTACAAACCACCGGCTCTTCAGCCCATATTCAATGCTTACCCTATTTACTCGCGTATCCCCCTCCTTGCTTTAACACGAGGTTCTGAAAATGTTTTAAGTATTCACTTAATTTTCCTCTTTCTCAAAGTGTTCAGAAAGCAAGCTCGTCTGAACTTTAAAATGGTTTCATCCACGTAATGATTGTTTCGTCGTCTTAATTGATTTTCTCGTGGACTTTGCATAGATTCTGACTGATGGAGCAGTAATAGTAAGCCTTGAAGAAAACAATAATATCTAATGCCCTTGATAGTGTTGAAAATCATTGCACGAGGGAAGATAGATTGAACAGTGACAAAGCTGATGACAACGGCGACGACTTGCAAGTTGCAGCAGACGACACAGACAGCAGTTCATGCAGCACTGAATGATTTGAGGGCTAAGAATTAGCAGTGGACAACAATAACAAGTATTTATATGTTCTCTGTCCATGAATTGTTCACAGTCACAAAGAGAATCCGCAGAAGAATTCCTGAGGCTGATGTAAAACTGATGAGTGTTAAATCAATCATATGTAGTCGACAATGATGTAGTTGTAACATGAGAAAGGAATCTGAGGTATCTGTTCTGCAGAAGACACTGCCTTATCCTCTTCCTACAAAGTTGAACCACAACTCTTGCTAAATGCCATGTTTGTCAGTGTCTTAGTAAAATGAAAGTCAGGAAATACATTGAACTTGTTACAAGTTTGGGAATACCGGAGAGGGAGCGAATGTTTATAAGTGATTAGTCCTTAAGTCTTTTTAATGCATAAATAAAAATCACTATTATCTGAACTTCACACTACTGAAGTAACTATTACATTACCGCGAATAAATGTTCATATATTTTACCGCCGTGCTTGGTACAGTGGTGAGCGATGCTGGCTGCCTTATCGTTGGGCACGTGTTTGAATCTTGGAGAAGGTTTGGATATTTAAAAGTGTGTCTGTGCGGCATGAGGGCATTTAAAATATTGGCAAG